AGACTGTGCGGCCTTTCCGGTATTCGTTTTTTCGCTCCACCGGGGCTTTTGTGTCTTGTCTCATGTGTTTCACCAGCATGTCATGCCATTTTGGCACATGTTCTTTTGATGCCACCCTCGGCTATCCGGGCGAAGGGCCTCCACACATGATGACCTTTCGTACTGCGAATATTGGCTCGATTCAATCCAACCATGAGTGGAAAGCCTGGGGCTCTGACATTATCTGTTTGCAGGAAACCCGAATAGGGAAGAACAACCATCGGTCCGCGACACATGCCATCCGTGATGCCGGATATGACGTTGTCCTTGGTCAGGTCTTGCCCGGTTTGTTGCACAAGGTTGGTCGGCTGCACACACCGTGCGGTGGAACCGCCATCCTGGGACCACCATCACAAATCAAGCCCTTTCTTGCTTCGGATGATGCCACGGGTCTGTTCCACACACTTTTGGCTACTAAGAGGGTTGCCATTCCATGGCTCCAGTTTGCCCAGAAACGGAAGGCCTTGGTTTTCTCCATCTATGCCACCACAGGGGCCTCAAATGATGTGAAAATCCATGCGGAAAATGACCATCTTTTCGAGGATGTTTTCACTTTGGCCTCGCAGTTTGGATCAATCCCGGTGCTGGTTTCTGGAGACTTCCAAGCCCCTCCGTTGTCATATTCTGCTATTTCCAAAGCTGTCCACTTTCACAATTGGTATGATCGTCTGTATACGGTGACTCCTGAAGGTGATCCCATGCGTCCCCTCACCTTTTCGAATGATGGTCTCTTTGTTGGTCAAGGGGAGGGATGCACCTCGATTGATGGCTTCCTTCTCAACCAGCATGCTTTCTTTGCACTCGAAAACTGCCATGTTGTTGAGACCTTCGGGAGGCAACATCGACCGGTTGAATGCACTTTCCATTGGGAATCACTTGATGTTGTTGGTTTCACGCTTTGTAAAACTGCTCCACTGGACGTTGAGGGTTTAAAGAAAGGGCCCATCAATATCACTGCCAAAACTGGCGTGACTCCTTATCAGGAACCTTTACATGAAGGTTGGAATGATGCATGGGAAAGCCGCTATGTCTCGGAACCTGAGCCCAATGCAAAGTGGCAGATTGTTAATCAATTTTGCATCCATGAACTCCTTTCCCGGGGGGCAACTTGGGGTGAAGGTCCTCGAGAACGTGCGAAACAGCCGCGTTTCGTTGCCAAATTGGTTTGCCCACCGCAGCATCGAAACCATTGTGCTGCCACACGTTACAGTTCACGACTCCATAAGATCCACCGACAGTTGGATGAGCTGTTTCTTCGACGTACCAGAGGTTTTTCTTCGGATCAAGATCGCCATGTCTTCAGAGTCACATCCACCAAGCTTATGTTAGGACTTAAGGACATTAGGGCCCCCTTCTCATGGCCGCATCATGACTTTGTGACCTTTGTCCATATCCAAAGGGCTAAATCCTGGATTCTTGAAGAGATTAATCAGCATTTTCTGAAGCTTAAAGCCTCTCGTATTAAAACTTGGAAGCACCGAATCCAAGCATCCGCCACTAAAGGGTGTACTTACATTTTTCAGCACCTCAAAAATAAGCTCACTGATGAACCCGCCAATCTGATTGAAGATGATGAAGGCAACATTTTGTACCAACCTGATAGTGCCCTCGCTCATCTCAACAACAAGTGGGATGACATCTATGCTGCCAATGATGATAAGATTACTCAAGCACACCTGCCGCCTATTGATGCCGCAGCACTGCATCGTGTTGTGCAAAAGCGCAAACCTGCAGCCGCACCAGGACTGGATGGATGGCGGACCTGTCATTGCCTGTGCATTTTTTTGAACCAGTTGCCAGGTTTTTCAGGTGGATCGAAGAAAATCCTGAAGTTGAATTGCCTTTTGGCCTCACAAATGCCAAGCAGATCATTTTGAACAAACCAGGACCATCCAGTGCGATGAACAAGAGGTTGATCACCATTTTGCCTGCACTATTGCTCTCGTATACTGGGGCACGTTTTGAGCAACTCCAAGCATGGCAAATGGCCACGATGCCCAGCTGCATCATCGGTGGTGTTAAAGGAAGGACCATGCCTTCCCTTCACACTGCTTTGCGCCTTGAAATCGACACTGCAAGAACGAATAAGCAGGACCTTGTAGGAATTAAGCTTGACAAAGCTAAATGCTTTGACCGTTTGATACCGGATTTCACTGCTGCTTTGTTTCTTGCTTTTGGCCTTCCCCAGTTCTTTGTTGGCCTTTTTCACCGCATCTACTCTGGGCTGCGTAGACATCTAGCCTATAAAGGATGGATAAGCCCCACTAGCACCACAGCCCCAAATGGAGTTGTCCAGGGATGCTCACAGTCCCTCATACCTGCTATCTCTGTACGAGCATTTGTCGACGACGCATACCTATGGTGCCACTTGCAGAACATCGCAATTCTCTCCCGGGCTGTGCAGGTCACCCGCCTCTGGGATGAATTGAATGGGCAGAAACTAAATGATGGCAAGTCATCGATTTGGGGGACCTCTAGATCGGCGCGTAAGATTCTTGTGAATACCTTTCAAGGGATGAAACTCGTCCATGCACTGGATGCCCTAGGCACACGTATCTATACGTCTGACAGAGATGACTTCCAATTCAGTTCGCAAACCTTGAACCAAGTTTGTTCTGCCATTGAGGCCATAGGTGCCCTCCCTGTTCCTGTCCGAACCAGAGCACACTTGATAGGAGCCAAGGCCATACCCAAAATCACGTATGGGTCTCACATCTCCAGAACGCCGAAAGCATCCCTGCAAAAGATTCAAAATGCGGTTGCAAAAGCCTTGTGGCATGGCCGACCTAACATTCGTTCGAAGCATCTCGTCCTCACTTTCTTCGGGCAACCGCACAGGATCGACCCGTTCATTGCCATGGCTGTCAATTGTTTGATTGATATTTCCCGCTTTTGTTTTGAAACGCCAAGTGCCATCCCAATGCTTCAGGCACTGGTAGCAAACAGGAGTGCCCCAAAACACTCACTGGCCGCTTCTTTCCAAAAAGCCTGTGAGACGTTAGGTCTGGATGTTGATGAAACTCTTGCCATCAGTTTCCATGGGTCGAAGCCTTTGCCCCTGGGTTTGGTACCCCCCAAAACCTTGCGTTCATTCCTCAAGCACCTTGCGATTCAAGCTCAGTACCATGCGGTCCAACATGGCAAGCGGAAAGACATTTGCAAACCAAGTGGGCTTCTTGATTTTTCCCTTAGCACGGAGTTCCTCAAGCACCCGACGTTTCAGACCGCCCATTTCCCTTCGGCAATTTCTCATTTTGAGTCTGTTTTGGTTGGATGCACACTCACGAAAGATAGGTTATTTGCCTCTGGGTGGGCCGAAGATTCTAAATGCCGCTTCTGTGGCAAAGTCAAGGAAACACTTGCACACATTGTCTTCCAGTGCCAGACGTATCATGCATGGACGTCCAGACCTGTCCTGCATGAGTTTGGAGCAAATTTCCCTCTTTGGGGAATCTTTGAGCACCCCATTGCGCTTGCCAAGCATCGCATTCGTCAAACTAAGGCCCAAGAGACTCAAGTCGCAGAATTCCGACCTGATCTACCTCTTCAAGAGTTCTGGACGGATGGCTCGCTATTGTGGCCTAAGCACTTTTGGGTTGCGACTGCAGCCTTTGCTGTCATTGATGCGGCTGGACATGTGGTGATGTCAGGACCGGTTCAGAGCCTCGTCTTAAGCAGTTATGTCCCTGAACTGTTTTTGCAACATGTGAATCTCCGGTTCACATCTACACAGACAACAAGACGGTTGTTGATCACTGTGTACAGATGATTGCGAAAGACAAGATTGAGGTATCCTGGAGCTGTTTTTCATGGTGGGAAGTGATTTATGAGGTGTGGTCCTCTCGGAGGAGTATCCACGATCAGCCGCTCAATATTTCGTGGATTCCAGCTCATCAACTTGAGACCACGCCGGAAGATCAGCTGACAGAAGTTGATGCTCTACGTGCTGGTACTACGGTCAGACACATTGTCCTTAACCGGCGTGCAGACGCTGAAGCCAAGCGACAAGCCTTGCAAGTTTCGCCTGTTAACCCTGATATACAGCGAATTCTTCCTGCAGCTGTGAATCTTCATCAAGAGTGGCTTACTAAACTCCATTGCCATCTTGAGACAACAACTGTTTGCAAGAAGGATGATGCTCCACAACTCGCCCAGAAGCATGACAAAGGCTCGGAAAGCCTTACTCTGGCCAGTGCTCCCGCGTTCTTCCCAAAATGGGCTTGGAGTGCTTCAATTCGTGAATATAAGTGGAAGCCCAAAATTCCCTCAAATGTGAAGATGCCGAAGCGCTGGAGGCATTCATTCCACAACTGGCAGCAGATTTGTTCCTTTTTGCAGACACTAGTGTGGAAGATTCATCCGAATGAAAGCTCTGCGTTCTGTGAGTTTGCGATCGCTTTTCACACGGAAGGGCACAAATTGGATGAACATGTGAACCTCACGATGCATGACATTTTCACACAAATCAGGCAATGCTTGCAATGGCTCTCGAAAGACGCATCATGTCAGCCTTTTCCAGGCTCAATGCAGCCAGGGTACGCCAAATCGGCAGGCAAAGTTTTGTGCCAAGGCGCTATTGTTGGTGCCTCTTTTTACATGACTGACCGTTCGTTATTCCTTTTGGCCTCGGCATTGCATGCCGGGGCTGGCCGCACGACTGAGTCGTGGAAGGCCGCTTTCCCTTCTGTGACGTCCTGACTTTTTGGGGTGGAGCTTTCGCTCTTTGTATAGCTGTACATACATATGCTGCCTGCGTGACGCATATGTCGTTGGCGCGTCTCACAGGACCGCGCAACGAGAGGGTGAGTATGGAATAGTACGTTATATCCATGTTATATCATGTTAATAGCATCAATGGCCCATGGGACTGAAACACTTGCACCCCACGTTGTTGGAAGAACGGACCAACAAAGAGTCGGACCGACCGACTCTGACGTCGATCTCCACTGGGTCCCCCAAGCGGTCTCCACGGCATCCGGGTCCGGTGATCCCCTGGAGGGCAGGGTTCACGGCACGGCCGGAGCCAGGTCACTCGCTTCGGTACTCGCTTCGGTACCGTGGACCGGGTTTTCGTGGGTTTTCGGGTGTCAGATCTACATGAACGAGACCCTTAGCTACTACTATAGTATAGCCTCTTGTTCGCTACATAGTAATGCCAGGAGCTACGTTCGTAGCTTCTTGCTCCGTTCGTAGCGATGCCCTTTGTTTACTAGCTAGATGTGGAACCCGGCTGCCGAAGTCCAAGACGTTTCAAATCCTCTTTCGGTTACCTTAACTTCAGAGAGCAAAAGATGAGTCTTTGGATGTCTTTGGACTTCTAGAGCTTGATTTGGGTTCGGACGCACTTGTCCCGACGGACCAGTTGTCCTCCTTGGGGGACCGTTGAACAACACGGAATGTGTGTACGCAGGAGCGAGGAGTGAGGAGGTACACCAAGTAGCAACGTAAACCCCTTCGCCAAAGCCGAGAAGACCACTGAAGAGTTTGGATGTTGTGACCCATAACCCCTAGAATTATCGTCAAAACAAAGGTTGTTCAATGATCAAGGCATTCAAAATCAATGGTGGTTGGAAGTCTAGGAACATCCAAGACCCGGTAGGTGGGGAACCTTGCGCAAGATCGCATGCCCAAGGCCGGAGTGGCTCACATGTTCTGAGACACCGTTGGACGACCAGTCTTAAGTCTTCAAAACGACCATGTCGTGTGTCACATTGTCCCTTCGGTCTTTGGATGTATATCTACCAGCTGATCGATTTGAGGGATCCAAAGCCATCAGGGAAGGTTGGACTGGAAGTGACGGTCTGTCTTTGCCACCATCTGCTGCATCGTTTAAACGTCGTCTGCGTCGGTCTGCGGCGCGTTGCTCGTTCCAGTTCTCAAGCCCAGTGACGCCAACTTCAGCTGCCTCGGTTGCTCGTCCGCCGGAAGAAGACACGACCGGAGTTGCTCGTTGGTCGTTCGTGGAAGAAACGAGTGGTGAATAGAAGTCACCTCCCCAGGACCTCTACCCGACTCCAAGAAGTCTCCTCTGCTAGCTGACTTCCACGTTGCAGGTGGTGACCTGGTCTATTCTGCTGGTCGTCGATGGCTCTTTGAGTTCCATGATGATGGGCGACTGGGGCGACTGGTCCTGGCCGCCCGTACTAGATCAACTGTGCAGCATGTCAGTCTTTAAAGGCAGAACCTGCTGCATATCGTTGGAAGATCTCGTTTTCTCTTGGAGTGATGAACGACCACGGCTCTTCCCACCACTTGTCAACGGTCAACTGTTGTCTTTTTTCGGATGCTGGATGTTCTTGGTTAACCTTCATGGTGAGCACAAACCACTGGATCCGTCATGAAAGTCACTCGGATTCCCTGCTTTTCAGATTCTTGCCTTCCCAACAAAAAAACAAACACACCCCTCCCAATCTGGAGACGGCTTCTGCGTAATTAACCGGCTGAGATGATTGATTCGCCCACTGTCTATATACTATATACACCTGAGAAGGGAGGGGACGAAAGCCAGCCCCTGGCTTAGGGGTGCCCTCAGGGCCCGGGCAAAGACTTGGCGTGCAAGAGGAAGTGATGGAGTAACATCGGGCAAAGATTAATTTCACGGGGTGAAGTTGACATCACAGCTACACTGGTAGGGGTGTAGAAATTGAAAGTAGAAGACATAGGTTTGGGGGGGGGGTGCCCTTTTTCGTCCCGGTTCCGGGGCGATTTGGAAGTGAAAAAGGGCACCCCTCAGGAAGTGAGGCCTGTTGCGAATCAGTGAGGAAAGACGGTGGTGGGGGTTCATGTGCGAGGCTATGGGCAGGGTAGGTGAGGATATACATATACATATACATAAACGCTTGTATGTAGGTAGGTAGAGTGGACACAGAGTAGCCGGAAGTGGTGAGGTTGATATTGGAGCGACTTGAGTGTGCAAGATGAAGTGACAGGCTAACACTATGTAAAGAGTACGTTTATGGGGTGAAGTTGGCATCGCAGCTACGCGATAGGCGGTAGAAACAAACGCTATACGGTATAGAATTAAAAGGGGGGTGCCCTTTTTCGTGCTGATTCAGGAGTGTTTTGGAGGTGAAAAAGGGCACCCTCAAAGATTTTATGTGAGTTCGTCAGCTGCGTTTTGGTAATGAGTGACCAGAGACGGTTGTGGGCGAGGCTATCGGTAGGCTTTCGTGAGAGTGGACAAGGAGGAGCTGGAAGTGGTGAAGTGGATATGGCCGTCAGTCGAGAAAGAATGGAAATAGAGAGCAGAATAGAGAGGGATGGGTCCCCCTTGGCATCTCGATGTCGGGGCGTTGTGGAAGGGAAAAAGGGCATTCTTGTAGTCTGGGGAAGGCTGGGTATGGTGTGCTGGTCTATGTTTCAAGTGAGTTGACGGCTGGCTTTCGTGATTAGATATCCCCTTGTTCTCATTTAAGCTTGGAATGTAGTTTGGAACGTTATGGTTTGAGAGCGGGGGACTGTGAGAGTGCAGTTGTTTAATTGTGTCTTTAAAAAAGTGTTTGGAATCGTTTGATGCTCAAGATATGCAAAGATGCTTGTTTTCACTCTAGGGCAGAAGATACCACTCTACTCTAAAAAGAAATTCTAAATATTAGCTCTCACGTCTTCACCTTCATGGCATGGAGCACTTGTACGGGTTAGATTTCTTGCGCGTCTTGGCAGACGAGGTAGGACGAAGGTAGCCGGTCTTGTTCTTGGCGATTGCTTCATTGTGCCTTTTTGCCATATTGAGAAGAAAGAACTTGTGACGGTTGGCCTTCATATCATTCATAATGGCAGCAAAATTGCGGAACCAAGCGAAGACTTGCTCACAAATGCTAGTGTTCTCCTTGGCAATGCAAGCTCGTAGCTTGCGCTTGACGCCTAAGGGAAGCAGACGGTTCATGAATAAGATGTTTTTTTAAGTGGCATTAAATATAGAATTTTGCAGGATACAGCACTTATATGATCCAAGAGACGTGGGTTGCATGGACAGGCTTTGGAATGAGTGCCTGAGACTTGCCAATCCACGTAATTGAGTGTTGGCGCATAGTCGGAAGCATATGCACAAGCACATCGTCTAAGAACCTAGAAACGAAGCTCCTGAGAGTCAAGGGCCAATACTCTAAAGTCTTGGGGTTCGGTGCTTCCTTGACCTTTCCTTCATTCCATCCCTCAAGAGGTTCACCTGGAGTATTGACTTGCTCATCTGTCCACTCCATGAACTGGCTCTTGTTGTTGGAGCGGGGGCCTTTTTCACGAATGAAACGATAACCAAATTCCCGTGCTCGTTGGTCTAGGGGTGGCCTTCTTTTCAAACTTTGGCTTGGGGGTCCACAGACGCAACTGCATGCCCCCCATGCGGTCCATCATGTAATTCAACGCCATCAATGCCACACGCACTTGCTGACCCCAATCAAACTTGAAGGTGCTGCCTTGACATGTTTCCAGACACTCCTTCGATGTGAGCTTGTTTTTGTGAAGGTAGACGTGCTTCACAATGTCCACAAACTTTACTTCTTGATTGGGAGGGTTTGCTGCTGGTAGCACCAAGATTTGAAGACTGTACGGCACGGTAGGTTCTTTCTTCATACAGAAAGGTGCAGGCAATTCACTGTATTTCTCTTGGACGCAAAGGCGGAACAAAGTGTTGTCCAGAAAGTCTTGAGTAGCATTCAGCTGGACATTGCAGATGATACCGGCATATTGTTCAAGCTTGCCACCTGTGGAGTCAACATTACGAAGTGGAAGGACACCGATGAAGACATCGCCGACAGGACGATCCGACTTAAAGTGGCGACGCTCTGGCCCAATGAGCTTTAGGCCATTGACCTGTCCACATGCCTCTGCGAAATGAGTGCTCCATCTTGGTCGCCAAGATCTCGATTGAAGCCATCACCAGCATTTAGTTCAAGTGACATCGAACCAAAGCCAAAAGTGCAACTTACTAGCAAAACAGAGATCAAGGCTTGAGAGTAGAAGCTTGCGCATAGCTATTGCAAGGCAAAGGCATTAAACTATAATTTAATCACGCTGAAAAAACACAAAACAAAAAAACAATTACACCACCGTAGACCCCAAACAGTTTGTGTTTTTCAAAATCGAAACTAGAGCTTGCGACGTCCAGAGCTGGGAGACAAAGGGTTGCAAGGCAGGGGCGGCCACAGCAGCCCAGAGCTGGGAGACAAATATAAAGGATTGCAAGGCAGAGACGGACACAGCAGTACAGAGCGGGCGGACACATCTTAAGAAAGAATTGAGAAGCCCTAACAGTAAACCTCTTGCAAAATTATTCAAGTGCGAACATGATGCTGGTCATGCTGCTCAATCAGCGGGGAGCTGACCACGTGAGGACAAGAAATAAACGCATGAGGAGCGAAGGATGTGACACGAAATTGATTTTTGGTGCCTGACATATGCCCTCCGTCCCAACTGAACAGAGAGATCGCTGCCACGCCGCCGAAATCCAATCCGGTCATTCATCCAACGCTTGCCCGAAAAGGAAAACAAAGCTGAGAGAGTTACACAGTGTGGCAGGAATGCAATCCCGGAGACAGTCACGCACCCCTTTCAAAGGAGCAAGAACCTTTCACAGGTGAGCCAGCGGACAAGGCAGAAAACAGCAGTGCAGGCACCAAACCTGAAAGACAAAAAGAAAGAAATCACATGGGACACAAATGAATAGAAATGCTACATGGCCAGCGGAAAAGGGCGGCAGTATGAGTGACAGACCCGGGAAACAAATGAATAGAAATGCTGCATGGCCAGCGGAAAAGGGCGGACACCAGCAGTGACAGACCTGGAAAACAAATGAATGGAAATGTTGCATCGCCAGTGACAGACCTGGGAGACTAATGAATAGAAATGCTGCATGGCCGATGGAAAAGGGCGGACACCAGTATAGTGACAGACCTGGGAGACAAATGAATTGAGAACCCCTAACAGGAAACTGTTTGGGGAAAAAGTGGGAGACAAATGCAAGGAAGTGGGGGACAGACAAGCCGCCCGAAACCCGACTACAAGCAAGTGGGAGACAAATGAAAGGAAGTGGGAGACAAGCCGGCCCAGCCTGAGAAATGAGAAACGAATGAAAAGAAGTAGCAGACAAATGAAAGGAAGTGAGAGACAAGCCAAAAGAAGTGTGAGACAAATGAAAGGAAGTGGGAGACAAGCCAAGTGGGAGAGAAATGAAAGGAAGTGGGAGGCAAGCCAGGCCTGGGAAACAGAACTGGGAGACAAATGAAAGGAAGTGGGAGACAAGCCGGCCGAGAACCCGACCAGACCATCCAGCACCAAGGCGACCATTCTTTAACGCATTGAGACCCCCTAACAGTAAACTGTTTGGGGAAAAACAAAACAATTTTCCAGGACTCTTTTGCAGACAAGGTGGAGCATGGCAAAGACTTCCAGAATATTGTGTTGGTTTTTTGTTTTTTCTTTTTTTATGTGTGTCTTTTAAAGTTGTTTTTTTGCTTGTTTGTGTCCAATGTTTTTTCTCTATATTTTCTCGAGACTGTTTGTGTTTGTTTTCCAGTGCAAAGGACATCGAGGCAGCTTTCACAGACACATAGCATGAATGCAGGCCACAGTGGGAAGTTTACAGCACTCTGGTGGTCCCCTGTTTTGCATGGTTTCCAGCCACAGCTGGCCACTTCAAATGGCGCCAAACTGCTAATTTTGTGGTATGGATGGATGCAACGTGGAATGTCATAAGCACAAAATAGTTCATTCAATAACTGTACAAGATGACACATGTGATTGGTACAGCAAGGAGATTGTACAAACTCAAGACGATGGATAGAGTCGTTTCGGCCATCCAGTCAGCCAGACTGTGGCCGGTGTTGTTGTGCAGAGTGATCTCACACGGGACCCTGGCGAACTCAGGCAGGTCGAGAGCAAAAGCCAGGAAGTTCTCGAGGAGGTCGCATCACCACATGACATGGTACCTGCAAGGTGTCAAACACTATTTCGCGCAAAGAATCGATGCCCGTGTCCATCTCCCTCAACTGAGTCCACCAAGCCTCGCGTCTCAAGCAGTAGGAGCTCATAGGCTCGCCATACTGCCTCGACAGAACTCCAGCTCCATCTTTGGTTCCGGCCTGGTACAACTCCTGGCTGCTTGCCGACGAAGTGGAAGTAGCTGCTTTTCCAACTCCGCTAGAAGCCTCCTTGGCCCCGTCGCTCTCCGCGAGCTTGTCGATCCCCAGCCTCTTCGCCACCTGAAGGGCCGGTCCGGCCAAACGGTCCACCAACCGAAGGCCGAGAGGGCCTAGCTTCTTCTTCTCCGTGTCTGACAGCGTTGCCTCCTTGCGTTCCAACGCTTGCACGGCGAACTTGTAGTCCGGCCAGCTTGCCACATCACCCCCACAGCCTGGCAAAGCCTTGGGATCACTTCCAACCCATTGTGCCTTGAAGGCACCATAGCGAAGTGTCTCCAGCGCCATGATCACAGCCGCAAGCGATTGCGACAGAACCTGTGCTGGCAAGTCAGGAAAAAAAGCGTAAGCCGTCTTGGCTCCGCTGCCAGTTTGAAAATGTGGCAAGTGCAAACTCGCCACGAATCGCCGCTGGCACTTTTCACGTGCGTCTAGCTCAAGGGCCCTAGTGCCCATCGTTTGAACCATGGCGGTTCAGGTCATGAGAAAGGTGGATTCATGTTGGGAGTGCTGAATATTGATTCTCACACTACAGGAAACCATTGGTTTTTCACCGGCGAAAACCCAACCTGAAACCATCTGAAGACCTAGCAATACCGGTCCTCCAGACTTGCCCTCACCCCAAAACCCCTCGCCCACCGGGCGCTCCGCACGGTGGCTTCGGAGCGACGGGTGCTGCCACCTGGCCCAAGTCGCCGGGTCGCGCGGCGGTCGAAACAGGTCGTGGTGTTTTGGGGCGTCCGCCTGGCGTTGGAACACAGGAAAGCATGGGGAATTTCCGGGGGAACCTTCCGGAACACATGGCAACTCTGGGAATTGGGGGGGGATGTGTATTTTTCTTGGTGTGCTTTCAACCAGATCATTCCCACCTTAGATCCAGGTGGAGGTTGGGATTTATATATCTGAGAGTGTTCGCAAGCTGTGTCTTCAAGTGTGATTACACCATGACGCTGCGCCGTTTGGTGCTGGATGTGCAAGTTGTACGCCAACACAACAATACGCCTGTCGATACGTTCCAATCGGCAGGACGCTATTGCAGAGACGCCACTACGACGACAATAAGCTGTTTGGCGGCGAGATTACGCAAGTATGTCGATGCACCGTTCGAGGCGGCAATACACTAATTAATCTGAATCTGAAGATGTAGAGGGCACAACCAGTGATGCATCTTCTAGGTTCGGGTTGTGCATCTGTGTCCAAGTACGGCCTTCACACAAAATACAAGTCCCTATGCCTTTCCAGGTTGACGATGTCGGCCAACACTGGACGCGAAAGACACAGCGTGCAGCGTGTTGCGACGAAGGATGAGTGCACCTTGTTCGTCAAAGGTTTTGCCGTTTCCATGGTCCGTAAAACAAGCGGTGTAACTGATAATGCCTTCATCTTCTCCGTCGGGAATCTGACCAATCTTGCGCAACCAAGGTTATGCTTAGCAATAGAATTATCTTCAGTGGATCCAGGTATGACAAATCATCGAGGCGACTTTCACTTCGGGTAAAGTCATCATGTCCCAGGAATGCAGTCGAACCTTTCTGTGGGCAAGGTTTACCTGTTATTGTCAATTTGGTATTTGGACCTGGCAAAGAATGTCCTGCATTTACGGGTTGCAGCACACCATTGTTTGGTCCAGGGTTTAAGTATGTGGCCTTTTGATGCATTTTTGCTCAAAGTGTTCTGATGCTCGGTAATTGTTCAGCGCCTTGTGCTGCTTCAATTGGCCGGACGTATAGACCTGGATGTACTTCCTCCAACTCATCACCAGAACTTTTGAAGATTACTTCCTTGATAGGGTATTTTTTTCCAACGCATGCAACCAGCCCAAACTATCTCCGTCTATACAAGACCCTTCGTGAGTGCTTGATAGGGTCTTGGGAATGAGGTCGGCATATTGAATACATGTGAGTAGATCCGTACAGTCAACCGTGGAGCATCGTGGAGCGCCAAAGGGGATCGAATTCAGCACAAGCTCCGGGTAAGCACAGGGTCTCCTGTCTTCACTCGGCCAGCCGGTCTCCTCCAACTGAAAGGGTGGATGGATTAGCTCATCCCAAGATTCGATCTTATAAGCTTTCATCTCACGACAGCGACTCGCTTAGATAGTTGGTCAGTTGGTCCTCTAATGCAACTCTGCAGCCAGAGGCCCGGCCACAGATGCCATTACGCCGGTTGAGCACTCCAGCCTAGCCCACGCCGGGAGAAGTTTTGACCTTTGGCCCTGTGTTAAACAGGACATTCAAAATCATTCAGCAAAAGGCAAGGTTCTTCAAGACCATGCCACTCCCCAAATGCTCCAAATGCTCTTTCGGTTCCTGTTGCAGTCGCATCAAATATCACTCCCCTCTCGCATCTGCACACGCCCCACCACCCAAAGGTACCGGCGCGCTTGCGGACGGGCCCCCGCACACTCGGCCAAGAGACGCTCGGTGGTGACCTGTGTAGGCTGACGTGCGCTCGTCTGACCATCTGAGCCTATACAAGTTGAGCCGTCTGAGCCTACAAGTCCCTGGATCATACCTGCCATCCAGTCCTAAACATCCGGGATCCTGGTCCAGGTATATATCCATACAAGTCCAGTCTAGCGCAGTAAAACCTGGTCCTGAAAAAGTGTTGTTGTATCCGGCAGGGGGGCCTCTGGTGGCCTCTGACCCCAACTCCAGTGAAATGTCCCAAGTCCTTGTCATTGTCTCTTAGAGGGACCACTTCGAGGACTCATTGATTGTGTGACAACGTCTGCCCACGTGGCCGGGATTTCACCAAAAATGACAGCAAGCGAACGGGTAACCAAACATTCAAGGAGTTTGTGGCATCTTCAGTGCGTTGACGATGTTGACTGGCGCGTCGCGACTCACTGCACGAACTCTTCTTGCAGGAACTCTTCTTGCGACCCCTTTTTGCAAGGAAAAGAAGTCGGACACGTGAATCACATCTCAAGACCAGAAGCCAAAAGCCTCAGTTCCTTGGAACAAATTGCATGTTCTTCTTCAACTGATCAAATCCTTCCTTAGAAAACGGACCGTTTCTTCATGCTCCGTTTCCTCCAGGGTCGCCCACGCGGCGCTGGACTCGCTGACCTCGAGAAACGATACGGATGGCGGGCGGGCAGAAAAATGCACCGTTGTGATGCGCCGTTCTCAAGGAGCTGAGGAAGAGGGGTGCTTTGTTAGTTAAGAAAGTGTTTTGCAATAAAACATTGTCTTTGGAGAAGTGATAAGACGTCTAAACACTCAAACTTAGATATCGGGTGTTTGGAGAAGTGATATCAGTGTTGAGTGTTTAGATGTGTGTTTAGATGTGTGTTTTCCTGGAGAAGTTCTTCACCAAGAACTCGTGCTCCAGTCGCGAAAGGAAAAATGAGAAGTGTTTGCAATGGTGCAGCATGGATACCATGGTGTCATTTTTGGGTCATGTGCTACCGATCCTTTGCATGTTCTCACCAGAGGACTTCTCGGAGGGTGGGCACGAATCCGGCGTGCACACTCATGGATGGTTAACAAATGGTTTTTGTTCATGTATTTTTTTCACCTGGTAACAAAGGGTATCGCTACGAACGGAGCGTTCGAACCCAACGTCTGGTGTTTTTGTTCACCGTTCGCAACTAGACCGATCGTTGTTTTCTTCGTTCTTCTCGTCACGGAAGCGCTAGACTCTCGACCGATCGGGTGGAGTCGCTCGGCGCCGTCATCGACTGTTCAGCACCTAAGAAGGTCTTTTCCAAGATGGCCATCGGAGCCCATCCATCTTACCTAGGGATCCAACCCCAGGGATCCAGTCGTACCGAACCTCAGGTACGGTGATGTGTTCGATGTGAATGATCTAAACCGTGCGTCGTCGGCGAAGCGCGGGTCCAGTGGGGTCCGCTCAGTCGCAGCGAGTCGGAGGCTTCGGTTTGTTTCTGGATCGCTATGAGAAGGGTTGGAGCCCATCGCTACTAGTCACCAAGAAGCTACGAACAGAGGTCGAAGAACCCGAACTAGGCTATCCTAGTTCGGTACCCCAGGTGACGGGTCCTATAATAAGGTCACCTGACCTCTCTTGGTACGAACGTAATGGCTAGCGACAGAAGCCCATGTTTCTTCTGAAGCACAGGTCTTTCCGCCCCATCCATCGGTCCAGCGGTCCATTTCCTTTTGCTCGGAGAACGGACGAAAACGCTCGGAGCGAACGGACGTGGTTCTTCTTCACGGAACAGACGGAAACCCTGGAGGTCTAAGGACCTTTGTTGTTCAAGTCATTTCAAATCAATAATCAATGGTGGTTCAAATCCCAGGGCCTAGTCTTCAAAGACCTTAAAAGGAGTTTGACTGACCTAGTCCTGTCGTCGAAAAACCTTAGCCAGGAATCCCAGCAGAAACCATTTCTTTCAGAAGAGAAAACCAACAGAAACCACCGGTGGGCGGTGTCGAGCTAAGAAACTCCATGTGTTTACATTTCGTAGGGAATTTCCAAGTCAGGTTGACCAACAGCCCTATGGAGATATCGACAAACGAAATGAATTGATCATCGGAGCATTAATGTTGCAGTGTTGAAGCATGCGTGTCTTGTGCCATAAACAGCTATAGTATGATGTATAGTGATTGGTGTAGTGACACCTCATGCAACTCAAATCTGCGACTCAAACCAAGTCGAAAACAGCTTGGGTTCCTGTATCATTGGACAAGTGAAGGGCGGCCAGCATGTTTGCCGTTCCAGAGCATCTTCTAGATTTAGCAGGCTTTCCGTTCTTGTCAGGCTGCTCTGCGATGGCGCCTCCCCATGTCTGTACAACCGATGGCAAAACAGAGTTCAAAGACCTTGAACGGCAACGACTGAGCTAGCATGTGTCCTTTTAAGAAAGAAAGACAGAGCTTCAGTTTCTTATTCACTGGAGTAAGAAAGGTCTGAGACCCTCCCGAGGATGCTCTTTGCCCCGTGCGGAACACTAGTTTTTCGGTCACGGCCTGAAAAGGTGACTAAATGAAAGACTCCAAAAAGGCTGAAAAGGTCACTTTGAAAAGCAGGAAGAGCACAAACATGTTCATAGCTATATTTCATACTCCTTTTGTGTTGTTGAGGTCCCTGAACTCCTTTTCACATCACACCTGCAGCGCCCGAAGATCTTAAAACAGCAGCGTCCGGCTTCGAGCGACTCGACAGGACCACGATGTCCAGACGTTCATTGGCTAAGGCTATGGCACCAAAACATGGAATGCCGATAGACACTGGGTAAAACGAAACTATACTTCTATCATCTTCTATCCCCATCCGATCTTTGTCTTCATACGGTCTGGGCGGTGGAGTACAGAACCTGGTCGGGTGGAGCATAGCCCTCAAGAGTTTTGAAAGAACAGTTTCCCCCAACAGCTTGCGCACCCCAGCAGGATGTGGCATGCTGTGCTGGATGTGGCCTGGCTGACAATGGCTGCCGGCAAACAGTTCTTTTTTTCAGCAGTTCGAAAGGAATGTGTTTTTACTTCCTAAGTGAGTGGATGTTCTGGGCATCCCCACCCTCCAGGTTCGGCAGCTCCTAGTTAGTAGCTCATGGCACTAAGGCTTTGCTTGGTTTAAGTGCGTCATGGCACTAGGGGAACCGTGGTACTTGACCATTGACAGATGGAACAGGTAGAATAGACCAGTAAGGTCAACCTACCAGGATGTAGGGCTCCTGGTTCAGACTATGAACCTTTGCCATAGCCATAGCCCTATGCTTGACGGGCCGTTACGCGCGGCCGAGCACAGCTTCCGCCCGCTCGGCTCGTGGTGTGGCGCGTAACGCGGACTTCAGGGCCTGAATGGCGGGGGGGAGGAGTCGGGCATTGGAGATCCAGTCCCAACAAGAATGCTCCTAGTAGTGATGCCAGGAGCCCCGATCGTGGCGTCCTTGCTCCTATAGTAGTACGGCCAGGAGCCCCGATCGTAGCTTCTTGTTACTACCAAAGACAGTTCTGGATGGAATTCCCCAGTGTGAGCCGCTTCCTGATGTAAAGGATCTCAATTAACATATTGGACCAGCACCACCCAAAGGGTTGTTCTTGGATGGAAAATATTGGCAAATACATAGCCAGGGGGGGCTTTTTGAACCACCCCCCAGTGGGTGGTGTTGGGAACAACCAGAACTGTTTCTGCTTGGGTGTCCAGAAAGAGACATTCCGCTGTTAGGAACTGACGCCAAGCATGCTTAGCACAGTGATAAGCTGAGGAGGGATGTCTAACAGTTAGTAAATAAGGAATGGTACCACTCCTACTCACTGACATGGAAGTGGAAAACCCTTGCTTTGTAAAGGAAAGTCGTCTTCTAAGGGAACATGTTCCACTTCCATGTGATGTGTTCGGCGGAGTGTAAGGATCGTGCCCAGAACTTAGCTTCAGAACAAGGACACCAAGAACTCCTGAACTGTGCGGAAACGAACGTCACAGTCAACGAGGAACCGGTTTTGACGAGGAAAAAATGACATGGTAGGCCTAGTCCTGCTCAATCTGAAGGACTTCGGGATTTCAATGGATGTTTCATTCTTAAGGTAGATGGATGTTGCCTCAGTTGCCTCAGTTCGCAAGGATGTGTCATCATGCACGACATGTGTCAACAAACTGACACATGTCGTTTTTGTCATGGTATGATTCTAATCAATCGAACCTCTTGTGTACCAAAGAAGAAGCCTCCTCGTTGAAAGGAAGCCTCCTGCATTCGAGACACCCAGCAATGGGTGCGGATCAAGAGCTGGAAACCCAAGACCATGTCCCTTGTAGTCTGTTCTGTTCATTTGCTGTTCAACCAAGGTCCCCTGTGTCACTCCCTGTCTCTTATCCGCAGGGGGCTTCGTAAGGGAAGAAAAAACCATGGAACCAGAACAGTTTCCACTACTGCCGTTGCGGGACAGGAGTCGGTTTAGTACGAAAACCCCAAAAGTCCAACGACCATTGTTTTTAAACACGTTTTGTGGATGGAAACACGACAAAACCCAGATCGACCATTCTTTTAATTGTCGAACGGAAGGCGAACGGGAGTAGGTTAGAGCCGGATTCGGAAACTAATCGGTCGGATTCTGAAACTAGGGTTCTGAAACTGGGGTTCTGAAACTAGGGTTCTGAAACTTGGATTCTGAAACTGGTATTCTGAAACTGGGGTTCTGAAACTAGGATTCTGAAACTGGGGTTCTGAAACTAGGATTCTGAAACTGGGAACCTGAAACTTGTATTCTGAAACTGGCAGATTCTGCAACTGGTATTCTGAAACCGGAAAGTCAGATTCTGCAACTTGCCTTCTGAAACTTGCAACTGGTGATCTCCACATCATGCGACAGCGTGTGTGCCTGTGACATCACCTTCGAAGCACATCCAAACCAACGTCATTAGCCCCCCACCCAACCCCCCACCCCCCAACCCCCCCTTGTCCCCATCGTGTGATCTCGACATCACGCCAACCCCCTCATCATTCACAAAGTTGCGGAATCCTAGTGAGGGAGTCCACAGTGTTGCGGAATCCTAGTTGCGGAACGCCAGTTGCGGAATCCCAGTTGCAGAATCCTAGTTGCGGAATCCTAGTTGCGGAATCTTGACAGTTGCGGAATCCTAGTTTCGAAATCCTAGTTGCGAAATCCTAGTTGCGGAATCCTAGTTGCGGAATCCTAGTTGCGGAATCCTAGTTTCGGAATCCTAGTTGCGGAATCCCAGTTGCGGAATCCGACCAAACAGTTGCGGAATCCTAGTTGCGGAATCCTGCGCAGTTGCGGAACTCGACTTTATCCAACGGGAGTAGGTATCCACCCGGTTCGTCACAATATATATTGTAAGAATTTAAAGTCACTTGGATGGGACAGCTAAGAAAAATGCAATGTCAAACCGATGGCCACCCCCCAAAAAAAACAAGTTGGAAGTGTCATGGGAGGCGCCACCTAGAGGAAGCTCGTCTTCTGAAATTCCATGGTTCTTCTTGCTCAAGGTCTGCAAACTCTTACGTCTAAACCAAGTGAGGGTAGATCTTCTCCCTTCAGCCTTCTTCATGTTCCTCGTGGACGGGTGCCCCGCGAAACTGGGCGGCGAAGACAGTCGAAGACAACCGCGACTTGGGGGGGGGCCGTCGTGACGAGCCTTCACATCGTCATTCACAATCGCCTGGCGGATTTTTTTGGAGCAAGAAGAAGCATGCCCGG